CGCAATCCGAAGGAATTGGATAAGTGAAGTATGCATGAGTTGCGGGTCACGAGTCATGAGTTGAGTGGGTCTTTGGGACGAATGGTTCCTACTTCGGGTCGGACCAACCTCTCGAGTTGAGTTGAATCCTGGTGGTGTGTTGGATAGACGAGACAAGATTCTGGAATCAGAGATGGATTCCATATTGAGGGGTATTGTTTATCATCTGATGTCTTAAACCTGTGTAGGTCAGTAATCGGGTACGGGAAGTACCGCAAGATGCATGGAACTTTGAGCAGTGATCAACATAGGTTGGGGCTGAGTCGACCTTCAGTGGGTGTATAGCATTCGCTTGGGGTAAAGCGAATTTCATGAATTGTGTGTCACTATGGATCGAGGTATTTATTGTGAGAAGGTAGCCATTGAGACGGTTGAGATAATGCAATGGACCATGGAGGTTCAACGGATGGGTCAAGTTCAGACCTGGTGCACAGTGTTAAAAAGGGGTATGTGAAACGGAGTTGAGGCTTATGCTTATTTTTGTATTTGAGGACACTTTTGAGCGAGCACGATTATTCTCTTGTGGCTGGGGGCAGGGTGTTGAGAATTCACTGTTCGGATGGGTTAGTATAGCAGTTCAGTGAATGAGCCCTGGTAGGATGTGAACCCTTCCGTTCTTTGGGTTGTGATCCAGATTGTTTGGTGCATTGGTATGAGTGATCGATAGCCGATTGTTGAATTTTGTCTTGTGAAGACAGAGGAGCAGTGAGTTATCAGAGTTTGAGGTTCAAGGGGGTGACTATCATGATGATAACATGAGTGGACGGTTTAGCAGCGAGCCAAGAGACCGGAGTTCCCGATTTTGGGAAGGTCAAAAAGGGGGTAGCTTAGCGGCAAAGGGTTCGATTTTGCATCTGGATTTGGGAGTTCCCTTTTGGACTCAGGCATCCATGGGAAGATAGTGGTGGGATATGAGGTCCTTTTATTGGTGCCTCTTGGGTTTGGTTTCAATCTAAGTGTTGATAAGAAGCGATTTCGAGGGCAAAATCTGATTAAGTGGGGGAGAATTGTAACATCCTAATTCGGATGGTCCATGATTAGGGTTTGTGTGCCACGAGCCGGACATGAGGAGGTCTCGGGTTGTGGCAAGTTTTTGGAATTGTAAAGCATCTCATCACCTTTCCGTAGGTATGAGGATCTTTGGAATCGGAGTTATATCAAAGAAGCTATGGAAGTTTGAAGATTTGGCAAGATGAGTCCCTAAAGCAAAGAAGTGTGGCAGCGAAGTACGCTGGGCGTACGTATGCGTACGCTTAGCGTACAGATGCACGTGTTTCTTATGCAAGATCCACCTAGTACACTGGGCATACCAGGGGGTACGTTGGGCGTACTAGGCGTAGAAGGAAACCCTAAATAAGTGAAGTGTCCCTATAAAAAGAAAGAGATGGTCTCATTTCTGGCCACCTTCCTCAGTTATTAAACCCTCTCAAACCCTAATATCCGTTCTTGAAGCTTGTGTTGTCCATGATGAGCTTGTTTGTGTTCTTGTGGACTTTTAAGAGTTAATAAGGAGCATGGAAGGGAGTGAAGTTGAAGAGCAGGTTGTGGATCTGATATTTCTTGGGGCTAGAGCACCATTTGAAGGTATAAAGCAAGCTTTCTCCCTCTTTTTGTTTTGTGCATATTAGGGTCCATTTTAGGGTTTTTGGTCCCAAGCTTGAGGCTTTATGAGTTGATGCACTCCATAGCTTAATAACCTGTCCTTTTAAGTGTTTCTAGTGGTGGAGAACCATAAAAATAAGGTCCTGATCGTGTGAATCTACCCACACATGAGTTATGAGCATTTTGGGTTAAGAAAGTAAGAGTTTTTATGTGTTGTGACCTTATCAGCCATGCAAAGGCTTAAAGTCGATAACTTTATGGAGTAGGAGATGTTAGGAAGTCAAGATCCAAGAGATGAGTTAAGGTCTTAACGGGTTAAGACCCATAAATTGATTTAAGCAAAACTGAGAGTACGCCCAACGTAATCCTATTACGCCCTGCGTACTGGGTTGAGGTCCCCAATCAGAATTTTGCATGCTTGAGTACACTGAGCGTACCAAAGGAGGTACGCCCCACGTAACTTCTTTGTGGGCTTTTGGGTTAAGTGATGTTTTGGGCCTTGAGAGTTGGGCCTGGAGTTTGGGCTTCATGTATAGAGTCTTGGACCAACAGAATGTATATATGTGCTTTGGGGCCCTTGGTTTCGGCTTGCCTTTTTGGTTGGGAATTGGGCCGTGTAAGGACCCATTTATTATTGGGCTTTTTGTGGACCCAAAGGGCTTAGGGTATTAATAGGCTGTTAGGTGGTCTATCTTTAGACCCAATGAGTGAAAGGTTGGACTTAGCTCCTAATTGAGATTTATTAAGGGTTTGACACAGAGTTAAAGTTCGGTACGTAGCAGCAGTGATTATAGGAGCTGTTCTTCATGCAAGGTGAGTCTTCTCACTATACTTTACCTAGAGTGGTATTTAGAGTTATATGACAGAGCATTTTGTATGTTATTTATATGATGTGATACACTGCATTATTTCTATGTGATTTATGTTGTGTATGTTCCAGAGTTCACATAGTTAGGACTAGAGGGTCCACAGAGTTAGGACCAGAGGGTCCACAGAGTTATAGTCTTGAGTGGCTAATATGTGTTATATGTGGTATTTTGGGGAACTCACTAAGCTTCGTGCTTACCGTGTTATGTGTTTCAGGTTTTTCTTATTTAGATCGTGGGACGACACCGACTTGATTGTACACACCAGAGAAAGAGTTAAGAGGATCCTGAATTATCATTTTATTAAACATGGAGCTATGTTTTTGTGATTTAATAATGATGTTTTGTGAAATATGTACTGAGAATTATAATTTTTCAAAAGAAAAATTGTTTTGAAATTTATGGTGTTACAAAAACTTGTGAGAGAAATAAGCTAAAGGTATTACAAGGCAAGGCTAGAATGACTAGATTTCATAAAATGTCAAGAAAATCCTAAAAGATAAACATGAGGTGTACATGTATCATTTTCCTAGAGATTTACAAGATAAAAGGCCAAAGGAACAAGTAAGTTATTGTAAGACATTATCACTGTAAATAGGAACTTAAGTAATTCATTATTCTTCATTCCAAAAACATAAGTCTTAAAGGTTAAGAATGAGGATTAGAGTTTCTAAGCAAGATTTGAACAAAGTGAGTATGTTATGTGGTTTACTGGTATACATTATGAGTGAAGAAATCTTTTTGATAACTTATTGCCATGTTTTCTTACATGAAGCAATGTTATGATTATGTTTTGTATATGGAAATGTATATGTTATAGCATGATTTTAGCATGTAATTTATATGTTATACATTGATATCATATTTGTATATGATAAGCAAGGTTGTAGAACTCGTTACTCGGTACCTTTTCGGCCGACTACCGAGTAAAGAGTACTCGGGGAGTACTCGGATTCGGTAATTCATGTAGAAATATTTTTAGGGAAATTATTTGTCAAAATCATAAGTTGATTGAAATATATAACAAAATTAGATACATATGAATACACAAAATCTAAAAACACATAATGGTCTCACTTCATGAATAATTACTGAAAATTTAAGATATATATGTAGTAATAATCACGTATATGTGTGTTAAATAATAAATCATCAAGTAAATTATACATATTAATCACCGAGTTAACCAAGTTTTACAACACTGATCAATTCAGTAAGGGGTCGATCGGAGAGTACTCGGGATTATATAACTCGTTCGATAAGGGGCCGAGTCGGAGAAGTAATCGGCCAACTCGATGAGTTTTACAACACTAATGATAAGTAACGTCATTAGATGATTAATCATCGCATGTGATATAGCATAAAGGGGCATCTTGCAAACGGACCATTTTAGGCACCCCTTACGTGGACCCGAGATTTAAGAATCTCTAAAAAGTTGACATTCTTATCATGTAACATAAGATCTAAAAAATGTTTTATTTTATTACTCTTTGATTTAGTATTTGAAAATATGTTTGATCATGAAACCGCAACTGATCACTAAGTAGGCCCATCCTAGAGGGTGGGCGATAGGAGCGACTGTCCATACCGCATCATTCAAAATGGTCCATTTTTTTTTATAGAAATTGTTATATTTAGAAAAGAATACAAGTAATTTTATTTCAATTATAGAATTATTATTAAAACATTAATGACATTTATGAATTTTAAGAAGTCATTTTTTCTTTCGCCTGTCACTAAGTTTAAAGCTTAAGTGTTGTAATCTTAATAAAGTATATTTTATTTTCTTGTACTGTCTTCCACTTATGTACAATCTCTAGTTCAAGTTATGATGAAATAAAAATTTTAAAAATGAGTTTTTCTTTCACTTATGTACTTGTTCAAGTTATGATGAAATAAAAATTTTAAAAATGAGTTTTTCTTTTATTCATTGTACTAAAGACAATGATTGTTACCCCCGAAATTAGGGTGCGATGGTTGTCGAAACCAACAAATAATATAAAGAAACAAGGACCTCTTTTTTTACTACAAATAGAACTAATATATATGATAGACAAAATTCCAAGAATGGTTTATGTGGTATGTCAAAACTAGCAACTTTGGTCCAAAATGGGTTTTGCTTGCGAGGATGGTCCAATAGTTTCGTTTTGTTGCGATTTTAGTCCAAAAATTTTAAAACCTTTTATAATGACAGATTTACCCTTGGTATTTCCCCTTTTTAATTTTTTTTATTATAGAAATAAAAAAAAAAAAAAGAAAAAAAGTAAATCTCTCTCCCTCTCCCTCTCTCTCTCTCTCTCTCTCTCTCTTCATCACCTAGAACATTACCCAAGAACATTACAACGAAAAAATACCCTAAAAATCCAAATTATCAAAAGATAATAATATAGAAATTTTATTTGGATTCTTGCATCGATCTAGATAGATAAAAGGGAAAGGGCTTTTTGTACCCGTGTTCGATGTTTGATTGGGTGATACACGAAGGAAACATGAATGAAATCAAACATTAGCCTCCGATTGATGACCGATAATGAAGAAGATGAAGTGCCTCCAACGCATGACGGGACCGGAGGGGAAGGAAAGATGGCTCGCAGGCGGCTAATCCTGGTACTGATGGGTCGATTGATAGCGACGAGGGAGATCGTTGGTGGGTATAACGTGGTCGTCGACCATGGAACAGGTGAGGGAACGGGATGGGTAGGGCAGTAATGAGGGTCGATTTCCTGCAAAAGCTTTGTTTTCGGAAATTGATGGGGACGAAGAGAAGGAAAGGGAAGGCAGTGAAGCTTCTCTTTTCCTGTTTTGATAACAAGGTACGATGCGGAAGGGAGAACCGGTTAAGCTAGGAGAGCAACAACATCGGTGCAGGTGGTGTGTTTGGCAGTGGAGCTCGACTGGAAGAAGGGCAGGTGTGATGGGGGTGTTTGGCGTTGTTGTTTGCTCGACAATCACAGGTTTCCTTTCATCTCTCTTCTTTTTTTACTTTGATTGTAAATCCATGGGGTTTAGTCAATAGATTTAGGTTAAGATGAGTGTTTGTTGATTGATTCTTTAAAGAAATGGATAAATGGAATGGATGAGTGAGGTTAATCTTTTACAGGAAATCGATGGGTGTATGTTTGTTTTGATTGACAGAATTGATGGGGTGTAAATCACTAGGTTTAGGTTTGTGTTTTTTTGCTTGAAATTGCCATGGAAAGAAGATGAATCAATAACAAGGAGTGGTTGTATTTCTCATTTGCAGGTATACATGAAAAGAACAAGAATGCTCTTGTGTTCTTGGCTGGGAACGAATGCAGAAGGGAAGAACAAGGATATGTGTTGATTGTATTGGTTTATCAGTGAGTGTGTGTGTGTGTGTGTGAGAGAGAGAGATTTTATTTTTGTTTTATTTTTAATTGTTGTAATAAAAGAAAAATGGAAAATAAAATAATAAGGGGAAAATCCGTCATTATAATAAAGTTCATAGGAAATTGGACTAAATTCGCAACAAAACGAAACTATTGGATCATCCTTGCAAGCCAAACCTATTTTGGACCAAAGTTGCTAGTTTTGATATACTACATGGACCAATCTTGAAATTTTGTTTATATGATATCGGAAGTAGGGGTGATACAATAAAGATTTCGAGGTAGCAAAAACTTCAATTACTTATATGAATAAAATTAACATTAAAAAAAAAAACTTTTTCTGAGAATTATCACTACATGCATTAACAAGTAAATGCGTATCTAGGAAATAAAAAAAAATTCCAACATTAAGTTAGTTAAGGCTCTATATATGATTATTAACAAATACGATGCAATGATCCCAGCGGCGGACACAAAATATTTTAGTAGGGTTGTTCCTCGTACTTCAGGCCGATGCACCTAATAGGAAAAAAAAAATTACACTACGTGTCGGAAATTGAACAGTGGCCCGAGGTCCCAATGCTCCACTAAGGTCTGCCACCAAATGATCCCTTAAAGAATGGATTGTATTAACGATAGTTAGAAAGTTATGATAACATTTTCATTTATGTAATTAAACCAAATAATGTTTCACCGATTAAACATAATATGTTACTCTAAATACTAGTAGTTATGAACTTAGTTTGCATATCATATTGATGTTGATGGAAATCTGAAGTAAAATCGATAATTCACGTTGTTTATAATGTTGAAAGTGTATTATATAAATATATAATGGTGGTGAAATCCTAGAAACATAGGGTACCGTTATTTGTTCTAGTTACTAAGGTTAGAAGGAGTGGTAACATTCCTAACACCTTGTCATGTCACTTTTTTGAATGGCACTTCATTTTTTTGTCTTAGCATCCCATTCTTGGCATTTCAAAGGGAGTGGTAACACTCCTAACACTTTAATTTTTTTTTCAAATTTAATTAAGTTATATCATTTTAATATCCAAAATATTACATCTATTCGTAGAGAGAGCAAGAAACGAAAGCAAATCACACTTGTATAATGAAAACCGAAACATTAATTTATAGACATAAATATTAAATAATATATGTAGTAGATTTTATTGATTAAACCTTCAAATTTAAACTTCAAAGGATACCTTTATAAAGAATATAATTTTTTTTGGTCCACTGTATTCATTCAAAAAAAGAATGTGACCCCACGCGCCACACAACAAAACAAAGCTCTCTCTCTCTCTCTCTCTCTCTCTATCATTTCGACTCATCTGCTACAATAAATTCAATCAATCACGCTTCCGTTCAACACCGGTGGAGTTTTCGTGCATCCGTTAAACACCGGTGGGGTTTTTGGCAGTAATTGAAGAAGAAGAAGAAGGGCATCCACAGTGATTTTCAGGGAGGCTGTTTGGTTGCCTTCTTTTACAGGAAGGGAAAAGTAGAAAATGAGAGGCTGCACCAATCAGATTACAACTCCATCCCCTCTCTCCTCTCGCTATGTATGTAGCGATTCCTCCTTGGTGACTCCCCTAGTGAATACTAAGGGGTGGTGTTTTGTGTCCATAGCGAGGCTAACGAGCGGTGGTAGTGAGGGTCACTCCGTATAGTCTAAGAGTTAAAATTTATTTGTTCCAATTACTAAGATTTAAAATTTACAATGAGGTCCTAAATCTTAGTGAATTTTAGGAGAATACTAACAAATAAAACATGTTTATTAGTAATCTAATATACATCCAAATTAAATTTGGATTTAAATGTAAGAATTCGTATAAACAAAGCATTCAAAAGAGATCTAGCGTTTCGCATAATCAAATGAACAAAAACTTCAAACAATTTAGCGACATATGATAGTAAAAGCATTATTACAATCAGGACGGTTCTGAAAAATTAAATATTCTTAAAGGTTCAGGACGAACAAGAAAAAATGGTCCTTATCTTTATTATAAATTCTTAAATAAAAATATATAATGAAAAAAATTAGGTCATATATAGCTGCCCACTCCCCCCCCCCCCCCCCCCCCCTCTGAATTTACCATCAAATTAAACTAGTAAAAGGCTTATACATACCTAAGTTTGTAAAATATAATTATGAGATAACCCCTTAAAAATATTCTTTTAACCACCTAGAATTCATAAATTATAAAACTATCATTTTAAACACCTAAATTTCATAAATTATATTTGTATGTATTACCTTCAGAATCTGGCATTGTCACAGAACAAAGTAAGTCACCGTTTTAGAAATTATGGTTATATGCATAGGCGTGCACATTTTAGCATGGACATGTTATGTCGGCTGCATGCTTTTTAGATCTTCAGTTTCTTTTTTTTCCCTTCTTTCAAGTCTTGCTTTGTTGATCACAACAACTATCTAAGCTTTCTTCATTTTTCCACATTAAGCATCCCCATCATGGATTTTGAACTTGTTTTGCTATATCCCGGAACATGAAATCACAAACACTTGTTCAAAACAAGTTCAACACATTAAGCATCCCCATCATGGATTTTGAACTTGTTTTGCTATATCCCGGAACATGAAATCACAAACACTTGTTCAAAACAAGTTCAAAATCCATGATGGGGACCAATGAAGCCCGTGTATTCTAACTATTTATTCAAAATCCATCATGGATTTTGAACTTGTAAAATCCACAAGTCATGAAATCACAAGTTCAAAATCCACAAGTCATAAACAAAGTTAACTATTGTATTCTAACTATTTATTGTATAAATGTAAAATTGATTGTGGATCGATCATAAAATATAGCTTACACTAGGTGACTAGGACCAATGAAGCCCGTGTCCCAGAGTTTTTGATCTCGGCCCACCAAATTTGTCGAGTTTGTTCAAGATAGCCCTGTCGAAAATACTTGTTACCCGAATTACCCGCCCGATTTTTTCGGGTATCGGGTAAATCGGGTAACGGGTAAATTTTTCCGGGTAATCGGGTTACCCGATTTTTTTTCGGGTAAGGTAAAGGGTACATTTGTTGGGTTTCGGGTATACTCGAATTACCCGAATTACCCAAATTATCTTAAAAATTCCTTTTTTTTTTGTAGAGCTTGTACGATATAGCAGATATTTGATCACGCTTAAACTATATCATTATTGTAAAACATAAATATATTTATTATGACAATACGACACTAACAATATTAAAAGTAATTTTTAAATATCATCACGTTCTTTAAAACTTAACTGTTTTCTTGATTATAGTTTTTATTGCAACTAAGAAACTCATTATCTTGACGAAACTTTAGAACATGGCAAAACTTATGGCTACATTTATCTTAAACATTTTAAACTTTTAAATTAAGATCTTTAGGTATTTGTTTTTTTAACATCTTATTAGATTAGATTAAGTTGTCAAAAAATTACTTGATATCTCATGATTTATTGACTAAAAAATCTCAATGTTCAAAGCTTGAGTAACTTTGTTTATGACTCGTTTGTTTATATAAAAAGACTAATAAAGCACGACATATTTAGTTTATTAAATTTATTTTCAGGTGAAATTCAAAAAAAAATTATATATTTTGGGTAATACCCGAATTATCCAAACCTGACCCGATACCCGAATTACCCAAACCCGAATTACCTGAATTTAGTTTGGGTAGGGTAACGGGTAATTTTTCTAACATGAAAAACCCGAATTATCCGAAACCCGAAAAAATTACCCGTTCAACACCCCTATTTCAAGAGGCATCTTCATCACTATTTTGACCCATGCAAGCACATGGTGCCTCACCAACTAACTAGAAAAAATCAAATAAAGTTCCACTACCTTTTATTATGACAAAATATGTTGGGTTATTACTACGTCCCTTAGACTAACCGGTATACGTAGCACGAGCTGGACCGTGGTCTAGTTGGCCACGAACCACGGCCGTGCACACCACCCTGGTGGTTCGTGGTGGGTCGTGGTCGTGGCCTTCCGTGTCCCGGAAAACGGACGTAAACGACCAATGAGCTCCAATGCAAAGAATTCGACCGTTTGTTTCGTTTGTGTAGCCGTTGTTGAACGGCTAGATTTATTAAAATAAATAAATAAATAAATAAACAATTTATTTACCTATAAATACCATATTTTTACTCCTTATTTTTTACACCATTCTTTTCTTTCTCTATACACAAACTACACAGTACATCTTCACAACCAAAATTCATGGATCCCAACCAAAATACCCCTCCAAACTACCGAAATCGCAAACCCGATAACGCTTTTGCGTTAGATACAACACCTCGACAATTCCCGACTATGGAGTCACCTCAAGGCGGTTTTATCAATCTACTTTAAAGTGGTTCCCCTATCCAACAAACAACACTTTTCCAACAACAATATCAACCTTTTCCGGCTTTCCAACAACAATACCAACAATTTCAACAATTCCAACAACTACAACAACTCCAACAACAATCGTCACAACAACAACAACCACCAATTTCACAACCACCAAGCTCACAACCACCACTTTCGCCGGATTTTGTTCCGGAAACGCAACCTTCACCACCACCTCAACCAAAAAAGAAAAAAAGAAAAAAAACGGCCCGACCCACTACCAACCAAGAAAGGGTCCCATGGACAAAAGAAGAAGAAGAAAAGTTAGCGGAGGCATGGGTGGCGGCTTCCGAAGATCCAATTGTAAGAGATAGCCAGACTTACGGAAGTTTTTGGGAAAAAGTCCGAGCCATTTTTTACGAGATAATGGAAAGTCAAACTCGAAATGCCGATCAAATTACATCGAAATGGCGAGATATTCGACTAAAATGCACCGATTTTGGAGGAATCTACAACAATCTCCTAAACATACGCAAAAGCGGCTCGAACGATTTTGATGTATTCAAGGCGGCCATGGACCAATATGAAAAAACAACGCCTACACGCAAAGCTTTTCCGTATATGAAACCATGGCTAAAATTGAAAGACTCCCCAAAATGGAAAGAGCAAACGGAAGGAAGTTCCCAATCTTCCGGTTCAAAGCGTTCGAGAAACCCCGATGGAACTTCTCAACAATCGGACGGCTGAACACACATCGACATCAACGACGATCCGATAGATCTTGAAAACGACCAACCTCTTCGTCGGTCCGTTGGAAGAAATAAAGCAAAAAAAGCGCCGTCAACATCTTCGAATTCTAGTGTTATGGATATGTTCGGCGATAAATTTGATCGATATGTGCAGCTTCAAGAAACGAAGGCTGAGGTGATGACTCGGATGGAACAAAAAATGATCGAAGCACAAACATCATTTCAAGAAGCACAAGAGACACTTCAAACAAAAACCGATATGGAAATCTTGAAAATGAAAGCGGACGACCTTGAGGGCGAAGACTTGGAACTTTTCCAAGCAATGAAAGAGTCGGTTTGAGTCCGACGTAGGCGTAGGGGGTAGTTTATTTTATGTATGGTTGGAATTTTTAGTTTTTTTTTAATTTTTTTTTTTTAATTTTTTTTTTTTTTTTTTTTAATTTTTTTTATAAATTTAACTAATGTAATTTTTATTTTGATTGTTATTTTTATTTTATTTTTTAATTTCAATTAATTTAGTTTTTATTTAATGTAATTTGGTATTTTAATTTAATGGAAAAACTAGTATTAAAAAAATGTTTTTAATGTATTTTTGAATTAAATTTAAATAAAAAAAATGAGGTGGAGTGGTGTGTTTAGTGGTAAGTATCCCATGTTAGTAGTAGTGGAATGTGATGCTGATGTGACACCCACCACATATGTGGTATGTGGTGGGTATAACGGATGGCCTTATAAGTACTAAAAACGGAGACTTACACAAATGAGATCATCTATCTCTGTGTGTGTAGCTCATTCCCTGACATTATACTCTTTGATCACTATACTCTCACTCTAGCTCATATTCACTTCAACAACAGTGGAGCATATGCTCCAGGCTCACACCAAGACACCTCCAACATTATTTTCTCTCAGGTGATACTTGACTCGGAGTCTCGGAGATTTATCTACACTCCAGCTTCATCATCCAAACCCTCGATCCACAAGACCTTTAAAAAGGTTTTTAAAAAACTATCAACTTTATAAATCATAACAAGTCATGTGAGGCAGTGAGGTGATGAATAATTGATGACATAACGCAAGAGTTGTCATCAATTGGACAAGTCAAATGGTGCATGACAAACGTAACAAATCAAGAGAATAACTCCATTACACATTTTAGAATATTTCTTTCTTTTCACTCTAAATTTTGTTACGTAATTTTATTTTAGTGACATATCCAAAATTTGAGCGAGACAATGAAAGTCTGCATTTTATCACCTCCCGCTCCCATCATTAATTTTGATCGAATTGCCTACTACAATTTACAACCACATTTAACATATTCGGATTTACTGATTTACACCCACAAAGCAAAATAACAAAAATATATTCAAAAAATAACAGAAGATGGGTCAAGTGAGTCATAAAAGCACATAGGGTAGGGTAGGTATGGCCCCCAACCTCGATTCGTAACAAGGCCTACACATGTTATATGTCTGTAACTACCACCTATCTCCTATCCTATTTAAAGTAAATTAATTACAAAGATAGTTGATTTTTCACTTTTCAATAATCTATCTCTATCACTTCCATTTAATTCACAACCCTACCATTCACCATTGCTCCTTGCTAACTTCAACTGAGAATGGAAAACACAATTTCAATAATAATTCTGTTAAAATTCTATCCTGAATAACCGGGACAAGAGTGGGGAAGATGGTATTTCTTTTTCACATGATGAAGAATGAACAACTTAATAGAGAAAATATTGAGTTTTAAACCATCATTTATCCAGAAAACAAAACATGTCCAATACAATACAGCCTGAGTTTACAAAACAAAAACTATTTCCATTCTAGTTATATGTATGTATATTCAAGATTTGTTGTATTACAAGCATGCGTGAAGGAAATGAAACACATGACCAAAAAAGAATAAAAGGGGAGACCAAGCTATAAATATATTATATATGATGATACGATATGAAGTATGAGCTCTCCTTGGGTTCCTACAAAACAAGTAAAAGTGATTCTAGGAGAGCTTGAGTGCGATTTCCTGAAGAAGCGCTCTTTTCTGAGATGCATTTATGACATTACTTGTCTCCGCATGTGCCAGCACATCAGCCACTATAGCTGCTGCATGACCAAGGGGTTCCTCACCCGACCTTTTCAGCATGAAAGCCTGTTATTATTCAAAAATTTCAAAATCCAAACTTATCTAAAATGTTTAGTTTATTGGAAGATTTTTCATAAAGAAAAAAAGGAGAGAGAGAGAACCTGGCCATGATGTGAAATGGTCAAAGTGCATGGTGACTGCATCCATGGTTCACCATCAATCTGAACAGGCAACGGAGCAAGAAGCTGAATTTTTATGCTCTGTCCCTGTGCCAGCCTTCGGGCTCGAGACAGACCTACCTGTTAAGTTTTAACATAATTCCTGGAGTCAGCTCAGCTCTGCTGTTTGTGACTTTCTTCATTATTTTTCAAGTGACATTACCTGAAGTTTTCCAAGATGCCAGGTCCCTGATATGCTCACAACTTCCAGAATCTTATCATGCATAGATTGAGGATCAAAATTATCATAGTTGTCATCTTCATTCTGCCACAAGTCTACACCACCCATATAGCTTCCAATATTCGCAACAAGAACACCCTCCGCATCCTATACATACAATCTCATGTTAAAAAATATGATGATAGATGAGAAATAACAACAATCACCAACCTCAGGGACCTCAATATCAACACCATCTACCTCCACTTTCACCTGCCAAGGGTAATCTTGGAATGTTCTATCCATGATGGTTCTCGCACCTTCTCTAGCATACAAAACTTTATTCATAAACTGGTTATAAAACTTCTCTGGATTCTCCTCTCTCAGATTGTGAATTTCTAAAGCAACCTTCGCATCACATCCTACACCTGTGTAGCAACAAGAGACAATTCGTTTATTAATGAAAAACCATGCATTTAAGGAGATGTGACATTACCAAGATAATTATTCATAAATTTTGGTGAACGAAGCTGTTTTCCCTTCTGATTTGTTATAGAAACCTTCCAACGATCAAGAATGGTGACAGCAGCATGTTCTATGTCTTGAAGCATTGTACAGAGGCCACCATGTTTCTCTACTGACCCCAAACCACCTCCCCACCCTAAAACTCTTGCCAGGTCATTTCCAGTGCCAGCTGGCAGAATAGCAACTGGTGGTGGAGATATGAAGTTTTGCTTCTCAATCGCATCCAATACCCACCCAACTGTCCCATCTCCACCGCATATAAGAATTCTAAAATTCGCGACTTTTCTGAATAGATAAAGACCAACTTCTGGCCCCTCTGTTGAACTCAACTCAAACACCTAAACAGCATTAAACAAAGTATACTTAAGGTTGATTTTTTTCAAACGAGTGTCTATCAATTACTCGTCTACCAATTTGATTGTGTTGACTATGATTACTAATTTATTGAATTTAGTTCAATTGCTCATGATCTATAACCTATCTGGGATCAACACCTTATGATAAAAGCATATGAAAAACTCACCTGAACAGGGTTCAAGAGGATATTCATCCTTAACCTGAGTGAATCACCTCTCTGAGCACCACTCTTCTTGTTAATAAAGACTAAAAGAGGCCTTGAATCTGGACCCATATCAGTCAACTCATATTTCTGCTTCATCCCAACTATATGTGACTCATCTCTCTGACTGCTTGATATGTTTCTTTTAAAACTCAACTTTCGCCCGAACTTGTTGACCACATCACCATCTTGTTGTTGACTTGTAACCTCTGTGTTTGTGTTTGTGTTCCCATTGTAGTTCTCTTTTGAGGCACCATTTGCTATATTAATATCTGTTGTACTTTCTGTAGAAGCTTCCTCTACACTACCATTACTAATATCCACAGGGACTTCGTTTTCTTTTTTGGTTTTCTTACTTTGATTTCTAATACTTGCACGTACAGAAGATGCAATCTCATTAGCTCCATGAGTGATGGAACTCAAGATTCCACCAGATGAAGACCTCCTGAGCTCCTTAACATGAAGAGGTGACACAATCAGCCTTCTAAAAGGACCCAAATCACAAACATCACCTGTGTCACTATAAAGACTACTATGACAATCAACATGAACCAAACGCTGACACCATAAGCAACACCATATTGGTGACCCTCCAAGAAAAGAAGCACTACAGGGCTCTTCACAATGGCTGCAAAAAGAGATTTCATCAGGTTGATCCACCACCTCAGTCCACCTAATAGCCCACAGGTGTAACACACGTGTTGAACCAATCATTGATACACACTTACAGTCTCTGTGAGCCTTTGAGGAACAACTGAGGTGAGCTGCAGCCCCACATATTCTACAACGGTGAATAAAGCTATCTGAAGCCACCATTGGGCCAAGTGTCTGTGAAGATGACACTGATTTTAAGCATACACAGCAGTTTAAGTTTTTCCCACGGGATCCAGACTCAAGATACCAAGTATGAGCAGCTACTGGAACCCTGCTTCTTGATTTTGGATCCTTCTTTTTTTTAGCAGTAGCTTTCATTAAGCTTAGACTGATGTTTCTTCTCCATTGGAATGCGGTATACACAATGGTCAAGATACCAATAATGCCAGCAATACAGCAAGAGATGATGAAGACACGTGATTCTGCCAATTCAGATGGATTCCTGTTTATCCATGCAGGAGGAAAAATATCAGCTTGTCTGTAGTCATCCATCCTCTAATTTCTGGTATTCTGCATTCTACAAGTTCCAACTCATGCTCTCTGAAAGCAGAGTTAATATAAAAGGTGATGGTGTTTCACACCATCATGCATTCTAGAAAAGTTTTCCAATAAGTTTAACAAGATCTGTCTTCAAAACTTCAGCCGGGAGCAGATAAACCTGTATCCAGGAAGAACCTAAAAACAAAGATATTTCACCTACAAAACAAGATAAATTGTGTACAAGAACTATGAGCAACCAAACAAAAGTAATACAATTAAAAACCTATGAGTATGGCAGAGTTCTGTATAGAGCTACGAACCCCACCAAGCAATTACGGGTTTTTCGGTTTTCACTTTTCAATTTGTTCACCAATAAGTGAATCAAAACATAGGCTACTGCAAGAACAATTTTCTAGGTTTTCGAATACATTAATACACGTATAGTATCAGTACACAAGGGGTTTTTTCTTAATATGCACCAGAAGTAAAGCAGGAGACGCACATACCCACACCCGAAGAAAATAAAAAATAAATAAATAACCACAAATTTAAAAATCACTATCAAATGAACACACAAATATTCAATCAATCAAACGTTTAAATGAATACTTACAAAGTGTTTCTGTCTGTAATGATCCAACCAACAGAAAGATCTCGATTAAGAGGAGTGAGATGAAAAACCCTAAACGAAAACAAGTCTCCTCAATCACGCAAACAGCAAAAAGCGAAAAAGTAACGAATACGTCGATAATATTTCAATTCCCAGATCTGTATAGCTTTGCCCTTTAGCTATATATTCATATAATCGATCTGTATGTATACGTGTGATTTTGTTCATAATTTTTCGAAATATTTTTCGCTTTTTTTTCTATTGTTGGGGAAAAGAAGATTCAGATTCCTTCCAATTTTGTGTGCGCGCGAGACGAGGAGGAGATATCAGCGATTAAAACGTGGCGAGTCAATGAAGGTGCCGACGTGACTTTGAAAAAAAAGAAGTGGGGTCCACTACGATTCTTTTCCAAGAGAAAACTAACCACGTGGCAACTGTGGTTCCGTGATGGGTGTGTATGGCTACAAGACGAATAAGGGACAGTTATACTACATTTTTGGGACACTACCTTAAAAACTACTATTATTCATACATTTTTCTTATCGATTTAACTCCAATTTTATTTTTTATTCAAACTAATCCATTCAATATATATTGAATAATCAATAAAAAAAACCAAATAAATTATACACTGTAATAGGATTGAGGCTTTATTTAAAATAAATGAATAGTAATAAATCATTAAAAAAAAAAAAACCCATTTGAGATGCTTTTAGTCTCTATGATTCACCCGTCGGGCCATCACCCATGTCCATTGAGGCTGATCCATTGCTAACAATTGTTAATTGAGACATGGAATGAGGTTATCAACGATCACAATTTACGTCATTCATCCAGGTATTAGTCGTGTTCTTCCTCGCCAATCCAAAAACCAAAATTAAACCAATAACTACAATTGATTTAACAGAGGGTTGTATTTCATTATTTGTTTAACATTTTAGGACCAAGTTTTCCTTTTCACAAAGTCCATAAATCAATGAACCAATCCTACCATTATATTATATTATATACTCCATCCGTCCCAAAATTATTGTCCACGTTTGATTTTTGAAGTTTTTTTATGTTAATTTTGACCATAAATAACTTTATTTGTGTTATATAATTTTTTATGAAACTTATAACAAAAATATACATTTAAAAAACAATTTATTCATATATCTTGCATAAAAAATTATATAACAAAAAGTAAATTATTTGGATCAAAGTTGAACAAAAAAGACTTAAAAAAAAACCTGAACAATAATTTTGAGATGGAGGAAGTAATATATATATATATATATATATATATATATATATATATATATATATATATATGAAAAGCAATATTAATTTAGTTTCACATAAATGAATTAAAAAGGAGATAAGGTGTCCCATCACTAAGTGCTCCCTTCATAGAAAGGTACGCCCACAATAAGTCATAAAAATGGTAAAATATATACTATATATGTTTTTTTTAATGGCAAATATAAATATAAACTAAATTTCTAATTATTATTTTATATCCACAGTTGTATTTGAAATCTCAACCTCAAAAAGGAAGACAACATCGAATACCGCTAATCAAGGTTTTAAAAACCGAATCAGAGATCGAACCGATCGTCTTACTGGTTCGATGGTTTAAGTGGTCCAATCGGTCGGACCGGTCTAAAAAACCGGAAAAACCGGATGATGTCATAATTATATTTAATTATATAAAAAATACAAAAAATAAAAAAAAAAATATTTTTTAAAATTTCCGGTTTTGATCTGTTTTATCGGTTCAACCGGACCGGTTTTTACCGATTCAACTGGTTTTTTACTGGTTTTCACCGGTTCAAACAAATACCGATTTTTTGACCTTTATGTACCGGATCCGGGACCGGTTCCCGGTTGAACCGGTCGAACCGGCCGGTCTGATCCGGTTTTCAAAACATGGCCGCTAACTAAAATTCTATTGAACAATAAAATTAAGAGTAAATTACATGAATGATCCCTATGGTTTAGGATAATTTACGTGTTTGGTCACTAACTTACTTTTTTAACTCGGAAGGTTCATACTATTTGTTTTTGTTACGCAATTGGTCCTTATCTTACCTAAAAAAAACTATTTTTTTCTTGATTTTTTAATTTATTTAAATAAACACACTCCTAACTCCACCCTCCTCACATTACCCTACCTATCACACAATTTTCCCTATTAAAACAATTAGTATTTTTAGGTAAGACAGGACCAAGAGCGTAACAAAAACAAATAATAGAGACTAAGCGCATAACAAAAACAAACAATATGAACTTTTCGAGTTACAAAAATAAGTTAGTAACCAAACGCGTAAATTAACCCAAACCACAGAGACCATCCGTGTTATTCTAAAATTAATAAATGCATCTATTGCTCGTGCGCCCTACATCAAAATATAGTGTGGGGGTTGTGGTTCCTTATTAGTTTTTTTAATAAATCTTTTTTATTTATTTGTTTTTTTAATCTTCAATAATTTTATTATACCTGTTACTAATTATGAGACCCGTGTATTTTATGAATTTATTTAAAAAAAATTAATTATGAACGTCTAAACATTTAGGAGTTAGAATTCACAAAGAAAAAAATATTGAGTTTTTGAAATTAGAGTGTTAATTTCTCTTCTAAAATTAAACAATTAATTTAAGTAAATAAACAAATAATAATTGAGCTTTAATTTAGGTTTTAGAAATTTGGAAATTAGAAGAAAAATTATATTAATAAATTTGATATCAACTTATTATTATATTTATTGTAATTATTACATTTAAATACTATATGAAATTTAATAAAATGGAAAAAAAAAACCCATAAAATGACATGTAAAAAAAATCAATTTGAAATAATCACAAAATGACATGCAACAAAATAAATAAGAACATGATATATATATATATATATATATATATATATATATATATATATATATATATATATATATATATATATATATATATATATATATATATATATATATATATATATATATATATATATATATATATATATAGGGAAATGATCAAATGAGAACACCTAAAAGGTTGAGAACACAAGAACAAGTATATTCATTTGTGATTCTATGTATTCATTTGTGGTGAAATGATAAATTTTTCTACACAATCAATATGAACATCCTTTTTCTTTTCAATTGAAATTAAAAGCGTAAAAATCCATCATTCCTCCACAAATGAATACATGGAATCACAAAAGAATATACTTTGTTCTCGCGTTCTCAACCTTTTTGGTGTTTTCATTTGATCCTACTCATATATATATATATATATATATATATATATATATATATATATATATATATATATATATATAAGAGTAGGATCAAATGAGAATACATAAAAGGTTGAGAACGCGAGAACAGATCTGGACCATCTAACTTTTAAGATGTGTGGCTATACTTAATTGTTATTTTTTTAAATTATTAATACATTTAAATTTTAATTTTTAAATTAAAGAAAATTAAAAAGGGTATTAAGGTAAATAAACACTACCCTAATTTTGTAAACCCCTATAATTACTCTTATAATTACTCTTGCCTCTCTATTTGTTTGCCCTAATTTCCTACGACATACAATCAACACCTCAATGGCGTCACTTGACGGGACCGGATAAAACAAAGAATCGAAAGCAGCAAGATCGATGAAAGACGTAGGAAGGAAGTGAAGGTAATCAGTGACGTATGTGGTCGGCCGTCGTGATGGCGAGGGGAGCATTTATTAGGTCAACGAGGCTGAAGAGGAGGAAAGGAGTTCCCCTTTTCATCTTATGATTAGAATTCCGTTAAAAGCATGTCAATCGATTATCACAATCATACTTTGTATCTTGACATCATTCATGGCAATTGTAACTGGTTCTGATCCTAATTCAATTATCGGCGTGGGAATCAACTGGGGTACCATGACCAACCACCAGTTGTCAGCTGATAAGGTGGTGGAAATAATGAGAGAGAATGGATTCAAGAAGGCGAAGCTCTTTGAAGCAGAAAAAAGGATCATGTAAGCGCTAATTGGATGATAGATTGAGGTGATGGTAGCAATCCCTAATTTCATGCTGTTGGATATAAGTCAAGATCCAAGCTACACTGATTATTGGGTTGATGCTAATATTACTACTTATGCTTATCCTGGTGGTGTTGATATCAAGTAAGCAACAACAATTTTGTGGTTTCTCCTGTTGAAATAATTCCAATTTCGTGTTGAAACACCTTCAATTTCATGATTATAGTTCGTTTTTTCGCGCTCTAGTTCTTCCTAACTGTTTGCTGGTGTAAATGTTTAGGTTTTTCATTCGAGGGTAAGTTTGTAATTTCACGTTGATTCTTTCGTTAATTTCAGGTATGTTGCAGTCGGAAACGAGCCATTCCTCAAAGCATACAATGCTACGTATTTCCAAATCACATTACCAGCATTAAAAAATGTCCAAAATGCCCTTACCCGGGCTGGTTTCGGGAACCTAATCGATTTTTACATTGCAATATCTACAAAAAGCTAATCGTTTTTTTAACTTAGAACCAGTTTCTGGCCATGCTTTGAAATAATATCAGGTGATATGGAAATGCCTGACTATGATTTTCTTTGAATTTGAATGATTTTGAAGTATTCCATTTTATGATTAATCATTTTCTTGTCACTTATTCTCAGTTGTTTCTTAATTGATATAAAGATTTAGGGGAATCAAACAATTTTAGAACCAAAAGTAATTTATACTATGATATCAATTTATGATTAGAAGTTTATTCATTTTTTGTTAATCATATATATATATTATATATATATATATATATATATATATATATATATATATATATATATATATATATATATATATTCATGTATGAATATAATTACAAGTATAGGAATTCATATGTATTTTTTTTTGTTCATGTCTCATATTAATTTATGATTAGATGTGTATTTATATGTCATATATTAATGTATGAATATAATTACAATTATAGGAATTCATATGTATTTTTTATTTTGTTCATGTCTCTTCATTTATAATTTGACATCATCTGTGTTTTTCTAAATCTTTTTCATTTAATTGATTGTTAATTGTATTTATTTCTTTATTCGACAGTGTGTAGAGGAAATCGAGATACATCTACAAACGGGATGTTGGAGTGCTAATATATAACCAAACAATACAAAGTGGCAAAGATATCGTCTTATTCATTTATGATTATATAATAATAGTTAATTGTTTTTATTCAAATTTTTGTTTATGTTGTATTCATATGTGATTATAGAAAACTAAATATGTATTACATTGTAACTTTTTGTGTTACTATTATTTATGAATAGATGTATAATCTAGATATATATCTGATATGTTTTTATTTATTTATGATTATAGTTGTATTGTAATTTTTCTCTATAAATTGTGTTATATTCGTTTATTATTACAACGTAATTCGTCTATTCATTCACGATTACATCGGATTCATATATTATTACAAATATGTTTTATTTTTGTATGATTACACATATTCGGTTGAAATGATAAATTCATCAATTTTTTTGATATACTGGTAAAAAATTAAAAAAAAAACGTTTTTTAATCATGGTAAATTTTTTTGATAATCTATTTGATAAAAAATAGATTAAATTCATTTATAATATTTAGGTAAAAAATCAATTAATTAGACAACATCCCATGATTGTAGGAAATCATTAATTATCCATATTTAATTACATTGTAAAATTCCTTTTACGCCCTTATGGAATGAATGGTCTACGATTGTTCTCGCATTCTCAACATTTTATGTGTTCTCATTTGATCCTCTCCCTATATATATATATATATATATATATATATATATATATATATATATATATATAATATATATATATATATATATATATATATATAACTTATAATATTATAAATTATAAGGGTTGAATTTTAACTTTTAAAATTCTAGGGGCTGGAACTCAAGTTTTTAAAGCGACTTTACATGTTCCAAAACTTGAGGGCAAGTTTTGTAACTTTCAAAACTTTTCATCTTTGATAACTTATGAGTTAATAGTTTATTAAAATGAGAGACTTTTCATTTTATGTAACCTATGTGTTTATTAATGAACTTTAAAAGAATGACTTTTGGTAATCCATAATTTGAGGACAAATTATGGATTCCATTAAAACACATCAAGATCAATAATTAAACTAACAAACTATTTGCAAATAATTCATATGATCTTCTAAACTCATATGTTCATGAACATTCATATCAATAATTTCAAGAATCATAAACAACACATACAAAACTTAAAATTTTGATAATAGCCATTGTAAATGGATTAGCATAAGCATTACACCATCTAAAACAAGTTTTATAAGACAAAAGCAGTTTAAGGTAATGTTTTTAATCCATTTCCAGTAGCAAAACTTGAAAAACTGCATCCAGGGCCTGCTACTCATCAAGTGCAAGAACCTACTCGACTAGTAGATTGAATATAGGCATGGACTCATCGAGTCCCCCCATGGACCCGGTGAGTTCACTCAGCAGATGGCAGTTTTTTTGAGTTTTTTCAACAAGTTTGCATCAAGTATCAGGAAAACAAGCCTAGGCTCTGATACCACTGAAGGGTTTTTAGCATTCTAACACTCCTAAGGTTTACATGCAACCCTAGAAACCTTGGATCTATGTTTTACTAAGATACATGTAAAATTTATTTTTCAAGGTTCTTAATCTAACTAGAATGGCATGGGGAACTTTGAAACATAATAGCTAGTAGAAGAACAAACCGTTTTGTTGCTTGGATTCCTTGAGAACCTTGTGATCCTAGCACCTCAAGTGTGATGCCTCAAATGTCTCACACAACACCACAAAACTTGGAATAACCTTGAGAGAAGTTCACTAACACCTCAAAATCGGCTAGCCCTCTTGTTCTATTCTTAGTGGTCCGATTTTGCTAGTCATGGGGTCCTTTTTTAGTTGTGTCACAAGTAGGGTTACAACATGTAAACCCTAATTGACATGGCTTTCCATAATCCATGATTCATGGGTTTATAACCCCCATGGACTATCGAAGGAGCACCTTATGGGTTTTAGCCCAATTCAATAAACCATGGATCATCAGCCCACTATAAAAGAATGGATGATTTACACAATCAACCCCATATATTTAATTAGTCTCTTTTTGTTTACTTAATTAATTCCATATTAATTCTTTGATTAATACTAATTAAATAATATTATTAATATATTAGATCTTATAATATATTAATAATCCTTGAGTGTCCTTTCTCTCATTTAGTCTATCCAAGTGTTGCAATGCCATGCAACCCAAATGGACCATGTCAACCGGGTCAAGTACATCCCAGAAATAGTTATGAACTTAGACACCTAATCCAATACGAGTACCATGATTCATAGCAGATTGGGAGGTGATAACATGATTCGAGTACCATGATTCGCAGTAGATTGAGAAGAGTAACATGGTTCAAGCACCATGATTCGTAGTGGATAGTACTTCTGACTTTACTAGTTGTCCCGTTGTGATTGTTTAGACTGAGGACAGATATGATAGAGTGTGGGGCCAGAGGGCCATGTTGAATGAGTTTTAGTGGGGCATACCTGGAGAGCGAAATTGAGGTAGTTCTGAGAGATATTTATTGGTGAGATTCTAGTTGGAGTCGTAAGACTTAGGGATGAGTAGTTTTGAGACTTTATGGAGGATTGCGGCCTGAGTTGAGCAATCGGCCGATAGTTGAGACGTCACTTTCTGTGATGAGAGTTGAGTTGTTCCCATTTCCTGTGAGAAGCAAAAGAGATATCGAGCTTCCGGTTTCAGAGTTGGAGGCAAACCCCTTGTAGTAGCATATGGTTGCGACCTTTTCACTAGAGTATTTAAGCAGCATGTATACTATGAGGTATTTCTTATACCATGAGACAATCATTAGTGGGGATTGAGATGGAAGAGAACAAGGAGGTGACTTCGTGGGTGGGGAATACTTTTTAGCAACAGTTCCAGGTGATTAAGAGGAGTAGACTGGGGCGGCGGCCCTCGTTTCTTATGTTGTGTATTTGTAACACCCGGATTTCCAGGTATATTATTTTAATTATTTATTTTTGTGAATCATTGATCTACTCGACGAGTTGGTGCTATAACTCGTCGAGTAGAAGCGGGGTGGCCACATAAGTTTAATGAAGTACTCGACGAGTCCAAGAGTAGACTCGTCGAGTAGGCACTGTGGGTGGAAACCTTAAATCCTTGGGTCCGTGCCCTATTTAAGGGACCTTATGGCCCTCATTTGCGGCCACCTTCACCCTTGAGAGCACCAGAGCACCTGAGAGCGTTGAGAGAGAGAGAAAGAGGAAGCTGTTTTCATCATTCTAAGTGTGATTTTTCAAGAAAGAAGGAAGGAGGGCAAGCAAGGAAGGTTGAGCAGCTCCGATCTACCACCATTTGATTAGAAGAGGCTGCTAAAGGTATTAATTTGTGCTCAATCTCGTGTATTTGGTGATCTACTTGAATCTGGGGTTTTCTTATGCCTTCTTTAGCTTGGATTCGAAGTATGTGAGGTCCCAATGTGGAGTTCTTCTTAGATCTGGACCTTAAGAGGTCCAGAGAGTCCTATCTATCTTCCTTTACGCTATTCCATTAGAGATATGAAGCTAGGTTGCCATTTTAGAGGCTATTTCACCAAAAGAAGCTCTTTGGGACATTGCATGAGTGTAAAGGTCGGACCTTTACGTGATTTTTGGGTATGGAAAGGTCAGATCTATAGGTTAGAGAAACAGATCTGACCTCAGAAGGTCATTTGAGTGTTTCCATGGAAGGAACTCGCCGAGTCCATTAGTGCACTCGACGAGTTGAGTCGGGGTTGCCCCGCGATTCATGACCGGTGGTAACCGTCGAGTGAAAGGTTAACTCGACGAGTCGAGTGAAGATCTATGAGGATTCGGAAGATGCCTGGACTTGCTGAGTCACACGAGTGCACTCGACGAGTCTGGTCAAAGTTTGACCGTTGACTTGAGTTGACTTCAGTTGACCATTAGGGTTTTGGTAAAGCTGGTTTTAGAGAGAGATTTGGGAGGGGTAGAATGGTCTTTTACCCACTCCTTAGAAATGAGGACAAGAGAAAGTATTGATTAGAGATGTTATTATGTTAATAGGAGGAGGCTAGGTCGGGTTATCGAGCATGAGAGGTTATCCGACATCGTATGAGGTGAGTCTTCTCACTATACTTTACCTAGCGTGGTAATTATGTATGACCGGAAGGTCTTATATGCTATGCAGAATATGTGATGCATGTTTTTATGTGCTATGTATGTGCTATGTTATGTTATGAGTAGTATGGTATGGACCGGAAGGTCATTATGATAATGGGCCGGAAGGCCAGTAATGAATGGACCGGAAGGTCAAGATGATGAGGATCGAAAGGTCATTATGGGTAGGACCGGAAGGTCTACCAGGGTTGTGGGACGGAAGTCCTCTGAGACACAGTGACCGGAAGGTCTTATAGCCTTGAGTGGTGTATGTGCG